CGCTTGCCACCCCGTCACCGCCGCCGTCACCACCCAGCCCCGCCGGACCCGACGAGGTAGCCGCCGCCACCGTCGTCGGTTTTTTTATAAAACCATTCTGGTTTTTTTAAAACCCTAGATCCGTTTTTTAGATCGGTTCGCCGGTTTTCCCGGTTTAGTTATTTAACGGATGTTCGTCCATACGTTCGTTTTAATGAACGGTTTTCGTCGTTTAACCGCAGACAGCGAACGTTCGTTTGTTAGCCTGTTCGGCCGTTTTTCTTTTTTTTGGATTTTTCGCGATTATTTCCGATCGCGATTTCTGATCTGATTTTTGTTCTAGTATAACTTTTCGCTCGTTTATCGGAATCAGGCGATTCAAGCGCCTGGAGTTTTGTCTCGAAACCCTCTTTCCGTTTAACCAACTCAAACAAGTTTTTGCTATTGTAAAATTTGACTTAGGTCCAGATTAGTAAATGAAGCTTGTTTCTTTCGCCGTTTGACTTTCGTTGCTTCGTTTGATTTGATTGTTTTTGCAAACCGGAGTTCTTAAGTTGAACCTTCTGGTTAGATCTTTTATCTGAGTTTTACCTATGCATTAGATGAGTGCTTATTGTATGCTTGTTTGTTTGCGATAGAGTACCCGGAGTGCGCCGCTTGCTACTACGAGTCTCTAGGTTTCACGGATCATCGGCAAGGCAAGTAACACTTTGATCATACCTCTTTACTACCTAGTTTTATTGCATTAGATCAATTCTTAAACAATTGCATGATTAGGATCTGATTAATATGTGGGTTTTGGGAAGTAGATGAGGTAGAACCTATACCCTGTTTTATTACCAAACCTTTCGGAGTTACTTCTACGTTTGCTTATATTGCTATGCTATGCTAGTAGATGTCGATTGGGTGAGTGTATCCATGACAGATGTGAGATTGTTAATTAATGGTTTACTTAAGGTGGCAACTTAAATTCACATCTGGGTGGATTGAGGCACCTGGGGAACCCAGTGTTGCTTGTATTTTTTGGAAATCCCGGGGTACCGTGTGATTCTCCTATGGACCGTCACCCAGACTCAAAGGGATCATGAGATTATTCATGCTAGAAACGTCCGTGTGCAGCCGCAAGCTACTATGGGCTCTAGCATAGTTGATTAAGTCGTGTGAACTCTTACAGTGGTAGACTAGCAGATGTAGGGGAAAGTAGGTGTAACTGTCTACCCATCATAAGGTGCAAGCGCTTCTGAAAAACTATGTCTGGGTCATCCGTTTCTTAAACACCATGTAGTGTGAGAAATCCAACGGAGGAGATCGAATCTTGTGGGGAAAAGTGCGCAAACCTCTGCAGAGTGTATAAACTAATCATGGTTAGCCGTGTCCCCGGTTATGGATGTTTTGAGTATCTAGTATCTGGATTATCATGTGAATCTCATCATGTTACTTAATCAAATTTTGTTGGGTTATTGATGATGCTTAATTGTGATTGAGTTGGGTGAACCTTCTCAATGTTTAACAACCACCATGATAGTTAAATAAAATTTATTTCTTTGTTGTAGAAAAAAATTGGCTTTATGCAAAACTATAACCATAGAGCTTTCCACCAGCCATATATGCATGTAGTATAACATTATTCTTTTCATTACTCTCTATGTGTTACATTGTCAGCATATTTCATGTGCTGACCCGTTTTCGGGCTGCAACGTTCATGTTGCAGACTTTCCAGACGACGAATAAGGTGCCTTAGGTCGTGGTCTTATACTCAGTGATGCCGTTGGCGTTGATGGACTCGCTTTATCTTCCAAGCCTTCCGCTGTTATTGTTATTAGATGGCCTTAAGCCATATTTATTGTAATAAGTTCTCTTTCGAGACATTCGATGTAATAAGTGTGTGATTACTACTCTGTTATAAATCCTTCAAGTACTGTGCGTGTCAGCATTACCGATTCAGGGATAACAGTGATGCACAGAGATCAGAGTATTTGAGGTCTGGTCGCTACACATTGTGTCAGATAGGAGAGGTGCGCATAGGGGCGCCGCGAGGGGCCTGACCCAATAGCGCACTAGGTACTGTAACGACTCAGGTGAAGTAAGTGAAATTTTTCTACCTGTTATGTTTCGAGCAGTTTTTTTTGTTTTCATTGATTTCCCAAAAAGAAATATTTCATGAATTGAACACTTTATAAAATTTGAAAAAATTGTTGAATTTTTTGAAAGACAATTAAACATTTGTGAGCATTTTTTAAATAACTTGAACATTTTTCTAAAAAACATGAACATTTTTTAAAACTATTGTGAACATTTTTCTAATGGACTTTGCTAAAATCCCGCCGTCCAGAAAATTGTAATAGATCCGGACGATCTCCCTAATCACGCATGCAGTTACATGCAATGCAAGCTGCCTTGCGTGCGCATGTAGACTCACTCTAGGTTGGATAATAGTTGCATGACGAAAAAATAAAAAAGCTGATGTAACCAAACATTCCATCTAAAAATAAAATTCAAAATGTTTTGTAGCTCAAACCGTCGGTCCGTTTGAAAAATTATCACATAAAAGATTCGTCACGACGAGACATTCGAATCTAGATCCCATGTTGGTATGTTTTGACAACTTTTTTTTGGGGTCAAAAGTTATCAGGACCAGGCTAAGTAAGTTATCGTGTATATATTAAAAAAAAGTTATCACATCTATGATACATAAGTTGCCATCTTATTTATATAGAATTACCGAGGCATAAGAGTGCTTCTCCAATTCTTTCCACATGCAAATGAATTAGAAGAACAAAAAATTGATGTCGTGCTTGATTCCCCTTTATTTTGAAACTTCAAAAATGTTTTGGTACGATCGAAAGATCATTTTCACATTTAAAAACCCGTCTCGAAGAGAGCATCAAAACTAAATCATATGTTGATTTGTTCAGACAACTTTTATTTTGGATCAAAAGTTAACATTTCTGGGCTAAGTAAAGTATCACGCATGAGCTACATATTTTACCATGTTGTTTACACAGATATTAACGGGGAATAAACCTTCCAACCTTCTTATTAGCTCGGGTTAAAATTATTGCGGTGATTGTGCATGAGTTATCACCTATATGATGCGTATAGTGCCAAACTATTTACACGAAAGTTGTCGGAGGTATGCTTTTAAACAACCCCCTCACCAAAGTTATCAGGACCGAGGCACATAAGTTATCAGGTCTGCGATGTGTAAGTTACCATACTATTCACCCAAAAGTTACTGAGTGGATATTTCATCAACCCCTCCCCCATACCAAAGTTATCGGGACCGAGGTACATAAGTTATCAGGTCTGCGATATGTGAGTTACCATGCTATCCCCTCATAGTTGAAGTTACCGCGATTTTTGTATCCAAATTATCAGGTCTGTGGTGTGTATATACCATCATACTTGCATAGAAGTTACCAGGTTTCTGTTTTCAACAAGCTTTTTTTCTCAGGTCAAAGGTATCGTAGTGTTTGTACAAAAGTTATCAGGTCTGCGGAGTGTATATTATCGTGGTATTTGTACATAAGTTACCATGTATGCGGTGCATATACTATCATGTCATTTGCACATAAGCTACCGGGATTATCTTTTCAACAAACTTTTTCACAAAAGAATGGATGAATAATTCAGAGAGGGTAAATTGGGCTACGAAGCAATCTTGGTAAAAATATTCTTCTACACTAATACAATGGTAAAAGAGGTCAAATAGCTTGTTTTGTATTTGGTTTACAACAAGTACACTCGTGTCAATCCCGAGATCATACTTTGAATGTGAACATGGGAACAAAAATTCAACAACTTGGCATATAGACCTCACCCGGCGGCCCAGACACGACACCAATGGTAGACGATGGTATTACATACCTGATAATTTATTTACAAATACCATGGTAAATTTTGATCCGAACAAAAAAATTGTTGAAACATACCCCCAATAACTTTAGTGTAAAGACCATGATAAGTTACATACTGTAGGCGTGATAGTTTACATAGTCTAGATGTGGTAACTTTTTACCTGGAAAAAATTCATCGAAACATACTGACATGAGATCTAGTTTCGAAGATCTCGTCGAGGTGATTTTTTTTATGTGAAAACGGATTTTGAATCCGAGTGATGGTTTGATCTACAAAACATTTTACTTTGAAATAGGAAGAATCTTTCGCCGACGTCATCTTTTTTGTCTCCTACTTCCTCCGTTCCTAAATATTTGTCTTTCTAAAGATTTCAATATGTGATTACATAGGAAGAAAAATGAGTGAATCTATACTCTAAAATATATCTATATACATTCGTATGTGATAGTCCATTTAAAATCTCTAAAAAGACAAATATTTAGGAATGGGGGGAGTAGTTTGCATGAATGCAAGAAATCATGATCAATGTGTGCTGCATGCATTTCCTCCGTGGATGACTGCTACTCCCTCCATTCCAAATTACTCGCCGCTGAAATGGATGTATCTAGAACTAAAATGCATATATATACATCCATACGTGCGACAAGTAATTCAGAATGGAGAGAGTATTAGCTAATAGAAAAACAAGAGTTAAATGAGTGATTAGTTAGAAGAAAAGAAAAAAGTGTTCGGACTTGAATCGTCCGTGCCTATTACTAAATTCCTGTCGGCAAGAAATTAGCTTTTCCGTTTTCTAATATCCTATTTTTAAATTTTTTTGAAATTTTCGAGAATATGGAATTTTTTTTGTAAAACGTGAACATTTTTCAGAAATAGGATTTTTTTCTTCTAAAAAGACAAAAATGAAAACCCCCGAGAAAAACGAAACAAAACCCTTCCAGAACCTCTTACAACCAGAAACAACTGGGGTAGAAGCTTTCCCAAAAATGAATGCCGAATTGGGCCGGGCCATCTGTGCTCTCACTCTCCTCTGTGCGATTGCTCGACACATTAGGGTCACAATGAAACGCCGCCCATGTGCGTCACTCCATCCTGCGCCACATGGCTCCGCCGGCCGCCACCGTCGCCGTCCTCGGCGACGACATCCTGCAGGAGGTCTTCATCCTCCTCCCAACCCCCGCCGACCTCCTCCGCGCCGCGCTCGCCTGCCAGCCTTTCCTCCGGGTCGCACGCAGCGCAGCTTTCCTCCGCCGCTTCCGCCGCCGCCACCCCTCAACCTGCCCGGTCGTCCTCGGATGCCTCCTCTACCGCCCCAGCAAGCGCCGCGGGGCCAGCGCCCCTTACCTTCTGCCCGCCGACCTCCTCGGCGCCACGCGCCGCACTATCGAGGGAGGTGACTTCGCCCTCTCCTTCCTCCCCCGCCGCGGCCGGCCGGATGGCCCCGGCACCCCGTGGCGGATCCTGGACTGCCGCAACGGCAGCCTCCTGTTACGTGACGGGGCTTCCGGAGAGCTCGCCGTCGCTGACCCGTTAACCCGGCGCTGGGTTTCACTCCCCGCGCTCCCCGGTGGGCGCCGCGTAGGGTACGCCCTCGTCCCCGACGACGGCGACTCTTCGGCCTTCAAGGCGGTATGCATTTCCCGACGCGCTGGAACCACAGAGCTGCGCGCCTTTCTCCTCTCCTCCGCTGAGCTCCGGTGGGCCGACGTGGGTACCCTCGCGCAGCAGCCCAATCTCGCTGGATCCCGCGCGATGCAAGCGAAACGGTCGCTGTACTGGAAGCTAATGGGTGGGGGGCACATGGTGGCGCTCAACACCGCGACGATGGAGCTCACCGTGCTGGCGCTCCCGCCTTTCTTGCGGGAGCAAACTTTCGACGTCATTGAGAAGGGGGAGGACGGCGCCGGTAAGCTCTGTGTGCTCACAAGTCACAATGCGTGGATTATGCATTGAGGTTTGGATCGGTGAGGACGACGGCGCCGGTGGGCTGACATGGACGCTGTTGGAGAAGTCGGTGAGATTCTACGGGGCGATGGAAGCGATGATTCTTTCGGATCCTTTGGACCAGACTCCACAGGGCGATGTCATCGGGGTGGCTGCTGGTGTGGTGTTCTTGCGCAGCGGCAGTTGTCTGCTCTCCATTCATCTTGAGACCATGAAGATGACGAGGCTGTCCTTGGACGTGAATTGCCCGTCTCCGCTGATATATCCTTACACGATAGGGTGGCCGCCAGCGATCTTGAACCCTACTGAACAAGGTGCTTGATAAGGTGTGTCTCCTGTAAGCTACAATATGCTAAATGTCTCCTGTAAATTTTGATCAATGATGTGCTGAACTGCCAGGAATGCAGCACTACATTTCAGCTTATGATGATTAGATTGTGTGACAGAGCTGATATCGGAAAAGGATGTCATTTGCTCATCCATATGAATTCCTGAGACATGATAGCCGCGAACCTGCTCTAGTTGTGCTTATATGTTTTAGCCTCGTATCATGTAATTATTCGTGCTTGCAGTCTTAGTTGGTGTGTTAAATTCTGCCACCATTATCTGTATGGTCATTCTATTGCTCGAGGAATATAGGAGTATTTAGCATGCTTTTGTGAATGTTATGCTGGAGCTTTTATATTGCTTGTATGATCATATTATGTATCGTGTCAATTTCAGTATCAGTTCATCCAAATCCTCAATTTAGGTGCTTAACTTAAGGTTGTCGTGGTACATTTCTGTCTGGAGTTTGGAGTCTGGCTCCTCTGATACTGATGCGCCAATGCTGGATAGTCTACTTTTCTTCCGATGGCATTCTCAATGAAGAAACTGAAGGCTGAAGAACTTGGCCTAATGTCACCAAATGTTGTTATTGCAGTGAAGTTTGATAATTGTTTTTATCTTTTGGTGTTAGTGTGTTTTTATTTATTTTTCACTTCTCTGGGGTGTGCCATGGATGGAGATAGCAGCATCACTGTCCAGGTTTATTTCTTCAGTTAATCTTAGTTGAAGGTTTTGTAGGCAAAAATACAATGAGATTTCTGAGATAGGTTATGCTTGTCTTTCTATCATGTTCGAATATATTGGGCGGACAGTTCTGGTTCAGGTTTTGAGTGTGGTTTATCTGATGCAAATGCCAGTCTAACAGCGCATCCAAATTCCAAGGTCATGCACAGGGACGAAGCTGAAGCTCTTGCTGAAGAACTAACTTGGCCTATGGCAGTGAGTCAGGATGTGCTGAAGCTGTCATCCCCGTTATGAGGTGCTGAAGCTGTCATCCCCGTTATGAGGTGAAGCTGGATCATTTGTTCTGTCAATTGGTCTTGGTGCTTTTTTCTCTTCTCTTATGAAATTTTGGGCCATGACGGGGATGACAGCCTCAACCCTCAAGTTACTCTGGGGTTTTTTCTTGAGTTTATCTGGGTTAGAGGTTTTGTTGACAAGTACACTGATTTCGCAGAGACACGTTATCCTTATTTATGTATGCATCCACTGAAATGATAAGTATTCCCTCTGTAAAGAAATATAAAAGCATTTACATAACTAAAGTAGTGATCTAAACACTCTTATATTTCCTTACGGAGGGAGTATTTGTTAAAATTGCTGCTGATCTTCCAATGATAGGTGCCATTTCTCCCTTTTGCCATCGCTGTTTCCTCCTCTATCCTCTCGAATCTAATATGCGCGCACCACTCGAAAGTGACATCCGTAGTCTGAGTTAGGAGTAATAACAAAGTTTGGTTGTTGCACTATGTTCATTGCACATAGTTCTACCGAAGTATGAAAACTAGGAGAATTTAAATTCACAAAAAAATAGTGTAACCAGAAAAATGAATTGCATTTGTAAACGGCCTTCGGAAATCCTGAAATATGCAACTTCTTCTATATGTGATCATGCTCCCTGTAATTTTGAAGAAGCTTTGGTCGGACAGAAAGTTATATATACGAGTTATTACCAGAATACAATAAAATGACCAACCAAAGACCTATTGAAAATGGTGGATTTATATTAGTGTAAATATCTTGCAAACTGTTAAATAATCTTACAATACTATGATGAAGGTGCTATAATTATCTCATAATTTTAAGATGAATAAACAATAGTACTCTTGTAGAACACAGTCAGGATTTTCTGTAAGATTAGGGTTCCAAGGGGGAGGAACTCTCTCATGCACTTCCTTGGTACAGAGTATTTACAGAGTTCCCCTTTTACACATAAAACCTCTAGCTATCATGTTATACAGCACAAGGGCCACCAACAAATACACTTGCAGTTCAAATTCTAACCTTGATACGAATCAAAAGGGCTCTGTATTATCAGGGCGGAAATATGAACAGACGAACCTTTGCATTGTTCAGAGGGAAAATATGAACAAACCAAGCCCAATCACCTCTCTCATTTAGTACTAGTACTAGTACTTTTGGTAAAAAAATTCACTTGGCAAATTCATATGAAGTCGTGGGCATTCGTGATTCATCATTGCTCTGCATATATTTTTATCCTGATTCTCCATACTTGTGCATTGGTTTATTGTATTCAGATTCAGAGTATACTGAAGATTCGATTACGGATTACCCAATGGCATGGGCTGATGAGGAGGGCGGCGACTTGGCGGTCTGTCGGTCGCCATTCGACCCCTTGACCCTGCGCTGGGTCTCTTTCCTCCGCCGATGGCGACTCCTAAAGGTCAACCAGAAAAATAAGATTTCTTCACAAAATAAATGCTGCTGTACTACTCAACGCGATGGCACGCTGCAAGAAGCAAAGAAAAAGGAAGCCCGATCGATGGTGACGTGGAGGCGACCCAACAAGAGTAAAGTCTGATTTAAACCTTGAGTTTGTAGAGCTGGTCGCAAACGAACCCTGACCTTTAAATCCCTGAAGTCTATACCCTGTCCTCTCTAATCCCGGTCGTTTTCAACCTAAACCAAGCTAGACCTGTTAAGAAGCATAATCCTGGTCGGGATCGTTTGTTTCTTTCATTGATAACCCGGGCCTACATGTCATTTCCATCTTCTTCAGCAATCTCTTGTTTTATTATTATTTTCTCTTGGTGCGAGTCCATATGAATCATGCAGCAAGGCAGGATACGTGGGTCATGTGTGAACTGAGTGAGTGCGTCGGCCACACGCAACCACGCAGGAGCGAACGGAGCCGGACAGCTCGCCGTACGCGAACGGGGGCATCCATGGCGATGGAGGGCTAGCCCCATGGCGGCAGGATTCGACAGGGAGCACGGGGAGCGCTCCCCTTAGTCGGAGGCGAAAGCACATGATGGCAGAGGAAGCGCGGGGAAGGAGCTGGACGGAACAAAGTAGTGAATGGAGTCCGGGAAGTACATGCTCAAGAGCAGGCCATCTGGGAAGGCGGCCGTCAGTTAGCAAGATCAATTTCATTGTTGAATTTAGTGCTTCAAGCAATAGATAAGTAGTACTAAGAAAAGGAGAGCATGCACTGCCACTGATGGTGCAACACAAAGCTTGTGGTTGGTTATGCTTCAACTCAGATTGCAGCCGCGATGGTGGCATGGTGCTCACAATAGCACATGGCGATGAGCAGCAACCACCATCTAGCTTGTCCAGTCTTCGTAAGCGCAGGACCTGGGCGCATCTCGACTGCGTGCAAGGCGTTGAGCTGGCGCATCCACCGCCGCTGTGCGCAAGCGCCATGACCAGGTCGGCCGCGTGCTTCTAGGCTCTAGCACCACGTACTCCCATGCCGCGCCATGGACTCGCAACAGTGTCCTGGGCACCTCCTCGTCCTGGGAGAGAACACGCTCCTGGCGCATGGCGCCGACCACGCCCTGGAGCCCGCACGCCAGCCAGCACTAGCCTCCCACTTTCCCAGTCGATCCTTGCATTAGGCCCTGATCAAGCGAAGCTAGGGAGAGACGTGGATTGAAGATGCAATGACATGTGGGTCAGTGAAGTAAGTGAGAGTAAAATTAATCACGACTCGGATCATCTTTTTTCCTATGCGCCAAACGGATCTAAGGTCGAGTTAGACCGGGATCGGTAAATACAGGGTACAAACTTCAGGGATTTAGAGGTGAGGGTTCATTTGCAACGAGCTCTACAACCTTAAAGTTTAAAATAGACTTTACTCACCCAACAATGAACAATCCATGCCACCTACCGCAGGCTGCACGTCCTTTTCATCTTTACAAATACAAATGCACGCAAGGTACAGCGCAGACCAACGCAGCACATAGCGGAAGCATCGAGCCTTCGCTTTGTTGCAGGACCATGGCTCCGCGCGCATTGCTCTACCCGGGCCTCCTCTGCCTCGCCGTGCTGGCCAGCGGCGCCGCCGCCGCGTCTCACTCGCAGTGCACCGACAACCCGCCGGACCTCACGGCCGGCGGCAACGAGACCGGCGCGGCCGTCGACGACCTGGCCGGCTTCAAGGCCTACGTCACCGGCGCCGCCCACTCCCACAGGGCCGTCGTCCTGGCCTCCGATTTCTACGGTTAGTTCATCTTGATATTGCTGTTTGATTGTGGAATGTGCAAGCTACTATGCGTGTGGCTTAATATATTGCTACTGGCGCTTTATGTGTCTTTTTAGGATTCGAAGCGCCATTGTTGAGGTACCACCTTCTTCTCGCCGCATTTCCTTCTGTTCCTCTCTTCACTGATGATGACTAGTAGGAAATTTGTGAAGTGGAATGTATCCGTGAACTGCTCTTCGGTAAAAGTACAAAACAATGATATGAATCAATTGCAAACTGTTTTCGAAAGAATGGCTCTGTTCGAGTCAAATCAACACCAACCCATATCACCATGTGTCCAATACCAATAAATTTGTATCCATCTCATTGTTTAAACTAGAAGGCTTATGCGTTCATGGAAATGAAGGAAAATTGCCGACAAAGTCGGTGAAGCTGGATACTATGTTGTGGTGCCCGACTTCTTCAATGGACAACCTTACACGGAAGGCGCAAACAGAACAGAATGGTTCCTGGCTCACTCTCCGGTAAATTCATCTTTACCTATGATGATTCTTCATTAATTCATTTTTGCCTATATTTTTCTACCCACTCTGATCGATCTTTACCATACAGGTAAAAGCAGCTCAAGATGCAAAACCCATCTTCGCGGCATTGAAGAAGGAAAAGAAGTCTTTTGTTGGAGTTGGGGGCTATTGTTGGGGCGGTTAGTGAAACCTGAAACCAACACAAAGAGAAATATGTTTATATTGCCGGCATGCTTGGAATACAAAATGTTGGAGACAAAATTAGTAATTCCGCAAATATGATTAGTTCGTATTCACTTTTTCAAAGAATTTTTTTAGTTCATGACCTCCTCCTCTACCGACAGGGAAATTCGCTGTGGAGGTGGCGAAAACAAACGAGGTGGAAGCAATTGTCATCTCCCATCCTTCAGCAGTCACCACCGACGATATGAAAGGTGAACTTTTGTTTATCTTGTGGTGCTCTTGTTGGTGAACTATACATGTGTTCTTATTCTTAGCTCAACTGCCACTCAGTGATCAAGTGCCCCATTGAGATTCTTGGAGCTCAGAATGACGCTGTTACACCGCCAGCATTAGTAGATCAGCTTGTTGAGACCTTGCATCAAAACAATCAGGTGAGCTTCGGGTGATTTCATTCCAGACATATGGATACAAAAGAATTATGATCTTTCTAAATGGCTTGTTACACCGTTCAAAAAAAAAATGGCTTGTTACACGTGCATGGAATGTAACTCAATTTGCATTCATGAAACAGAAGATTCCTTCAGAATAACCCAAACTTAAGCGATAAGCATAGAAGATTCATTCATTCATGTTCTTTGACAAGAAATGAGTGAGAGCCTCATATGACTTTCACTTGTTGCAGATTTACTATGCAAATATCTTTCCAGAAGTTGCCCATGGCTTTGCTTGCAGATACAATGTTACCAACCCTTTCGCCGTCAAGACCGCTGAACAAGCTCTTGGGTTAATGCTCGGCTGGTTCCACAAATACCTGAAATGAGAACACCTCATCATGCAAGTCCTTGCAATTTGTTATGTCCAAATAAGTAAAATTTTCTTGCATTGATGTGTAAATTAAACCTGCATAATGTGATATGCAGATAATCTGGTTACCATTTTGTGTGCTTTACCATTGCAATCTCTTCACACTGGTACTATGTCCATGCGTGTGTCGGTGTGTGCAGTTGTTAACAGCTTGCTATGTCTTCAACCATGTGCGAAATAATACTAGTAGTAATAAAAAAGGTGGCTTTATCTCTATAAGTTGCGGAGCCAGGCCAAAATTGGCACATGCCAAGTTGCCAGTTTAAAACGGAGGCCAGATCTGTGGCAGGAACTACACACTTGCAAAGCAGCAGGCAAATGCACATTGTTTCTCTCGGTCTCCTCACCCTCGGCTTACACTAACGCCGCCATCTCGAGTGCACTGCAAAGGAAATCTACTGTAACTCTGTGTGTTATGTGTAGGTGTTAACTCTTAATCATATCCCGTGTATATAACCGACCGTGTAGTTGCGTGAGTGGAGACAATACAAGACACCAAACAACGTGCCAAAACCGCCCCCTAATGCAGAAAGTCTAGATGCGGGCAACCAAACGATGTGCAGATGATGTTTTTTTTTTGCATGTTTTCCCTCAGTCGGGCCCAACTGGGATATGTATGCAATGCAGGTAAATTCTCAGATGACAACCAAACACGTGTAGATGTGCTCATCTGGTTGCACATAGAAAAATGATGGCCCATGTGTGACTGTACTGTAGTGAAGCTTCACGATCTTCGACAAAAAGACCAAACCAGTACCAAATGGTTAGAGCATTCCATCGCGGTTCACCAAAATAAACACACCAAATGTACGTGGAGATGTCCGGATGTGTCTGCAGACAGCAGTAAGGCAGACGGTCATCCAAGTGCATGCACCGCGCTAGTTCAAATCGACAATGCAAAAGACGGATGGAATTCATGTAAACCAAACGATATTTGTTAAAATTTGATATATTTACAACCAAATGGTGAAATTTAACAAAGTTCAACTAAACAGAACAAAATTCAAACTAAACAAAGCGAGGTATCAACGGTTGACCTCGTAGGCATGACTTTTGAGGTCGCTGACACCGTCGTCATCGTCTCCTCCGTCGGTGCCGCCGTTGTTGTCGTCCTTCTAGTGCGGAAGGCCTCTCAGGGGTCACAGTAGCCCCGATTGTGATGGTTGGCAGCGACACACGCTTGCCCTTGCCCTTCCCGACGATGGCACGGGCGGAGCGCCGGACTCGGCCAACCCCATTTTGAGGAGTTGGTTGTTGATCGGCACCGGCGGCAAGCGGACGTCTATGTGGTGGTCCTGGATCGATCCTTGACCCAGGCTTACGCGAGGTCCGGTACGTGCCATGTCAGACGTCGCGAACGCTGCCCGACACACCATGTTGTGATGCTCCCGATGAGATTGCCGCGACCTCGGCTAGCTCCAACCATCGAGGCTCCTCACGTCGATGCACACCGCCACGCCCGCATCCAGGACGATGGCAACAATGCACGACCGCAGGCCCCGCTCCAACCCAGATCGGGCTTGAGCGCCAGACCCACCACCGTGCGCCCCTACAGGCATGCCCGCGCCGCCACACACCAACGTCACCCATACTTGCCACCAGCCTGCCGAGAGAGCACACACCCACCACCGCGCGCGAGCATGAGACAGCGACCACCAGAGAAATGCAACCACCTTCCCTAGAGCCGGTCAGGGCTTTGCTGATGGCTCCTTTGGCGGCGGCAAGACGGAGAGGAGAAGGGAAAGTAGGTGGTGGCGGCTTTAGCCCCCTACCCGCCCGATTGCCAGGGTCGAGATACTACTGAAGACCGCCGACGGCTCCTCTGACGATAATAAGACAGGAAGGAGAAGGGAAAGTAGGTGGCGACGGCTTTAGGGTTTCTTCCACCGGTCCCTCGTACAAAGATGTCAACATATACATATTTTCCCTTCCTCTTCTCTAAAAAATACACAAGGTTCCTTTTCTTGCCGCGGGACCATGTTGTGTCGTCGGCTTCGTCGTCCCGCACGCTTCGTCAAACAAATGGGCCAAGGCCCAGCGAAACCCTGCCAGCCCACATCTCTCACAACCCAGATGCACATCGCTCTGTTGCTCCCATCCTTGAACCGGAGCGTTAGAGTTAGCGCAGTCGCCAGCCACAGCCCGCCCGTCGCCCACCCGTCCGCCACTCCACTCCTCTACCGGACCTTGCCGTTGTGGTCCGCCGCGCCATATGTACCCCTCCCTACACCCCATCAGCGCGACACCGACCGCCTGATACGTTTCCATCGTATCTACTTTTCCAAACTCTTTTGCCCTTGTTTTGGACTCTAATTTGCATGTTTGAATGGAACTAACCCGGACTGAGGTTGTTTCCAGTAGAATTGCCTTGGCGTTATTTTTGTGCAGAAATAAAAGTTCTCAGAATGACCTGAAAATTTATAGAGAATAATTTTGGAATAAATAAAAATATTGGTGAAAGAATCAACCAGAGGGGACCCACCGACTGACCACAAGGGTGGAGGGCGCACCCCTGCCTTGTGGGTCCCCTGGACCTCCTCCGACCGTAACTCCAACGATATATATTCACGTTCGGGAAGAAAAAAAATCAAAGAGAAGGATTCATCGCGTTTTACGATACGAGCCGCCGCCGCCTCCCGTTCTTCATCGGGAGGGCTGATCTGGAGTCTGTTCGGGGCTCCGGAGAGGGGAATCCGTCGCCATCATCATCATCATCAACCTTCCTCCATCACCAATTTTATGATGCTCACTGCCGTGCGTGAGTAATTCCATCATAGGCTTGCTGGACGGTGATGGGTTGGATGAGATTTATCATGTAATCAAGTTAGTTTTGTTAGGGTTTGATCCCTAGTATCCACTATGTTCTGAGATTGATGTTGCTCTGACTTTGCTATGCTTAATCCTTGTCACTAGGGCCCGAGTGCCATGAATTTAGATCTGAACCTATTATGTTTCATGAATATATTTGTGTTCTTGATCTGATCTTGCAAGTTGTTGATACGTCCATTTTGTATCATGCTTTTATATCGATATTTATTGCATTATGAGTTGTTATTACACGTTATGTCACAATACTTATGACTATTCTCTCTTATTTTACAAGGTTTATCATGAAGAGGGAGAATGCCGGCAGCAGGGATTCTGGCTGGAAAAGGAGCAAATATTGGAAACCTATTCTTCACAGCTCTAAAAGTCCTGAAACTCCACGAAAGTCATTTTTGGAATTAATAAGAATTATTGAGCGAAAGAGGTACCAGAGGGGGCCCAGACCCTGGCCACAAGGGTGGGGGCGCACCCACCCCTACTAGGCGCGCCCCCTTCCTCGTGTGTCCCCTGGTGGCCCTCTGATGCCCATCTTATACTATATGAAGGCTTTTACCCTGGAAAAAAAAATCATAAGCAAGCTTACGTGACGAAACTCCGTCGCCACGAGGCGGAACCTTGGCAGAACCAATCTAGGGCTCTGGCGGAGCTGTTCTGTCAAGGAAACTTCCCTCCGGGAGGGAGAAATCATCACCATCATCATCACTAACGATCCTCTCATCGTAAGGGGGTCAATCTCCATCAACATCTTCACCAGCACCATCTTCTCTCAAACCCTAGTTCATCTCTTGTATCCAATCTTGTATCAAAACCACAAATTGGTACCTGTGGGTTGCTAGTAGTGTTGATTACTCCTTGTAGTTGATGCTAATTGGTTTATTTGGTGGAAGATCATATGTTCAGATCCTTAATGCATATTAATACCACTCTAATTATGAACATGAATATGCTTTGTGAGTAGTTATGTTTGTTCCTGAGGACATGGGTGAAGTCTTGCTATTAGTAGTCATGTGAATTTGGTATTCGTTTGATATTTTGATGAGATGTATGTTGTCTCTCCTCTAGTGGTGTTATGTGAACGTTGACTACATGACACTTCACCATTATTTGAGCCTAGAGGAAGGCATTGGGAAGTAATAAGTAGATGATGGGTTGCTAGAGTGACAGAAGCTTAAACCCTAGTTTATGCGTTGCTTCATAAGGGGCTGATTTGGATCCACTAGTTTCATGCTATGGTTAGATTTACCTTAATACTTATTTTGTAGTTGCGAATGCTTGCAATAGGGGTTAATCATAAGTGGGATGCTTGTCCAAGAAAGGGCAGTACCCAAGCACCGGTCCACCCACATATCAAATTATCAAAGTACCGAACACAAATCATAAGAGCGTGATGAAACTAGCTTGACAGTAATTCCCATGTGTCCTCGGGAGCGCTTTTCTCATAAGAAATTGTCCAGGCTTGTCCTTTGCTACAAAAAGGATTGGGCCACCTTGCTGCACTTTATTTACTTTCATTTCTTGTTACCGTTACAAATTATCTTATCACAAAACTATCTGTTACCTACAATTTCAGTGCTTGCAGAGAATACCTTACTGAAAACCGCTTGTCATTTCCTTCCGCTCCTCGTTGGGTTCGATACTCTTACTTATCGAAAGGACTACGATAGATCCCCTATACTTGTGGGTCATCAAGACTCTGTTCTGGCGCCGTTGCCGGGGAGTGAAGCGCCTTTGGTGAGTGGAACTTGGTAAGGAAATATTTATATAGTGTGCTGAAATTTTCTGTCACTTATTACTATGGAAACTAATCCTTTGAGGGGCTTGTTCGGGGCATCTTTGCCCCGACCAGTAGAGCAAAGAGTTGCTCCTCAACCTACTGAACCTACTGAAAATGTTTACTTTGAGATTCCTGGGTATGATAGAGAAACTGCTAGCTAATCCATTTGCAGGAGATGGAACATTGCATCCCGATTTACACCTTATCTATGTGGATGAAGTTTGTCGATTATTTAAGCTTACAGGTATACCCGATGATGTTGTTAAGAGGAAGGTCTTCGCTTTATCTTCGAAGGGAGATGCATTGACATGGTATAGGCTATGTGATGATACGGGATCTTGGGACTATAAACGATT